AGTATGATATTAAGTAGATAAATTTTTTTTATAGTTTTTGATTTTCCAAATAAACGAAAAAATCCTAAAAATTTTTTTTTCTCTACATCATGAAATTTCAATTTTTGAAAAAAACGACCGTCATAACCTGCCATCTGGTGTCTGTTTTCATTAAACAACACAAATTATATTATCTTTTTTTAAAGAAAGTTTGACAATATTTTAATTTTTTCAGGAAATCTAATAAATTCTTTCATTTTATTCAATTAACAGAAATTGATTCTGGAATCAACCTTGGGGTTGATTTCAGAATCAATTTTTTTTTGGAACGAAAAATTTTTCGTTCCTTAAATATCATCTGCTCGAAAATAACCAATACAAGGTCTAATGGACAAGTGGATAGTGCACTCAACTGCTAACCCGAAAATCGCGGGTTCGATTCCTCGTCGCTTCAAATTTTTTTTTTCTAAAATTCTTATCTGCAGAAAAATGTCTTTAAAAAATAAAATTTTTCTTAGTATGATATTAAGTAGATAACATTTTTTTATAGTTTTTGATTTTCCAAATAAACGAAAAAAACCTAAAAAAATTTTTTCCCTCTTTTTCATGAAATTTCAATTTTTGAAAAAAACGACCGTCATAACCTGCCATCTGGTGTCTCTTTTCATTAAACAACACAAATTATATTATCTTTTTTTAAAGAAAATTTGACAATATTTTAATTTTTTCAGGATATCTAATAAATTCTTTCATTTTATTCAATTAACAGAAATTGATTCTGAAATCAACCTTGGGGTTAATTTCAGAATCAATTTTTTTTTGGATCGAAAAATTTTTCGTTCCTTAAATATCATCTGCTCGAAAATAACCAATACAAGGTCTAATGGACAAGAGGATAGTGCACTCAACTGCTAACCCGAAAATCGTGGGTTCGATTCCTCGTCGCTTCAAGTTTTTTTTTTCTAAAATTATTATCTGTAAAAAAAAGTCATTACAAAATAGGCTTGCCAACTGTAGCAAAAAAAACAATTTCCAATTTTAAGATTTGAACCCGGGCTGGAAGATTGCGAACTATAGCAAAAAAGTATTTTATCTACTTATTTTCATACTTAGAAAATTTTATTTTGTAATGACATTTTTTTACAGATAATAATTTTCGTAAAAAAAAAAATTTGAAACAACGAGGAATCGAACCCACGATTTTTGGGTTAGCTGTTGAGTGCACTATCCACTTGTCTATTAGACCTTGTATTGGTTATCTTCAAGTAGATGATATTTAAGGAACGAAAAATTTTTCGTTCCAAAAAAAAATTGATTCTGAAATCAACCCAAAGGTTGATTCCAGAATCAATTTTTTTTAATTGAATAAAATGAAAGAATTTATTAGATTTCCTGAAAAAATTAAAATATTGTCAAATTTTCTTTAAAAAAAGATAATATAATTTGTGTTGTTTAATGAAAACAGACACCAGATGGCAGGTTATGACGGTCGTTTTTTTCAAAAATTGAAATTTCATGAAAAAGAGGGAAAAAAATTATTTTTTTTCGTTTTTTTTAATGATCGAAAAACCTGCAAAAATTTTTTTTATTGAATTTTTTACCCATTAATTTTTTTTTTTTTTTGAAATAAATTTTTTTTACAGATAATAATAATTAAGAAAAATTTTTTAATGGAAAATAAATTGATTTGAAATCAATTCAGAGATTGATTCCAGAATCAATTCTTAATTAAAAAATATTAGTTCATTTATTACTTTAAAAAAAAAAATTACGAAAATAATTTAATATCAACAAATATTTTTAAAAGGAAAAAAATGTAAACAAGTTAACCCTATTTATCTTTAAATTTTTTTTTCTTTAAATCATATTAATAATTTTGTACTTACTTTTTTTGTTGATCAATTTTTCACACTTCATAAATATCCGTAAAAGATTTTTTTTTAATTTAGGCACAGAATAATTTTTCAAAAAACTACACATTTAATTAGGTTATTAAATGTGTTGTTTACATTTCAAACTGACACGCGAGTTTGTTTTGACATTACATACAAACTTTCGCATGCGAAGTTGGCTTCAGGAGAAGTTATGAAATTTTTTTTCAGCTATTATTTTTTTAATCGTCAACACATCCGGCCGCGAAATGGCGGCTCTCTCATTGGACCAAAAAGTTAAATTTTTAATTTCATCCCATTTAAAATCTATTGGGTCAATCAAAAAAGTAAATTGTACGTTTTTTCCACAATCCAACAAACTTTCCGTACATATAGTGGGGGACACTTATTCTGAATCACCCTGTATATAAAGTATACATTTGAGGTAAATTTAAAGAATTAATGAAAGTTAAAAAATTAAAAATTCACATTTTGGCAATAAAATTTTGCTTTCTCCACGAGAAAGCAAATTTTTTTGCTTATCGTAAAGAGGAAGCAAAATGTTCATGTAATGAACATCTGAATTTACAACTTGTTTACAGTGTCTTCAAGCCGACTTCTGTCACTACATTAATTTTTTATAGGATTTTTTCAACTCTTTAAAATTTGAAAAAAATAGTTTCAGAAACTACAATGTTTTTTCTATTTCATATACAAGTATATCTAAATAGTTTTAATAAATTATTTTCATTTAGAATATGGAAAATATAATTGTCAAAGTTTTAAAACAAAAGAAAATCAATAATGCTTTGAGAACTATTTTTTATATTAAATTGATTTCAAAATACAGTCAAAAAAATTTAATCAAAAGCCGGAGATCTAAAGAAACCTATTCATGAGAATCACCCATATGTAGTACAGTTCAGTCGCCAAACTGACGAATTTGAAACTGAGGAAAATCTCCAAATTGAGGAATGTGATTAGTTCCTACTACCGCCATACTCAGGAATGGCGACACTGAAGTTGATCATGTTTCAGTGCCGTATTGAGCCGCATGTATGTAAATCTTTTTTACTCCCATATTAAATGTACATGGAGGCGGTCCTGAAATTGAGTGAGTGGGGGCTTTCTGAGTTCCAAAAGATGAGAAATTTTCGCCTTTTTGTCAGTTTAGCGAGACAGATGTAGTATAGTAATATCAAAATCATATATAAATAATAAATTTTATTTATTTATTAGGGTGTTGGGGCAGTTTTCGTTTTAAGTACTAGGAGAACCATAAAAACGTATGATGCAATTTTTAATAAATTAATTGAATGCTGTCCTCAATTACGAGAAAATATTAAGCATATTGTGGGGGATTTTGAGGCAGCAACAATGAATTCTGTCAGAAGATATTTCCCATGCTGTCAATACCATATTTGTTGGTTTCATTATAAAAAAGTAATGTTTCATATTTAATTATTAAAAGTACTTTAAATGTTTAAATAGTTGAGTGAAAACATCTTTATACCAGAATGACCGAAATTGAAGTCAAAAAGTTCAATGCTTGCATTTCACTGGTTTACATTTTTTTTGTCAAATCAATTTTTACCTTTTTGGTAAAAAGTCGCGTAGTCCAATTTTTGACAGCGTGAAGCGTATAATTTGTGTTGGAGTTTGATACTGGGACTTTTAATAGAAGATAACAAAAAAACTACAACATGAACAAGAATTAGAATTGAATCTGAAAATTTATTCAACAATAATGAAAATGTTTGAATACATTATAGAATAGAGAAAAAAATTACTGTGTAAAATATACTCCTGCAATCTTGTTTTCTTGGGTTATGCATAGTCCCAATCAGCACGGAAGCTTGCAACCAAGTTGCAGCAAGCTTGTGGGTCGCTCACATATTATGTGATAAATATTTTAGGTATTTTAGACCCCCTTCCCCCGAGTGAAACTTTTTCTATAGTTTAGTGTAGCAAAGATTAGAGGATATTACTTAGCCCCCTCCCGGTACTAAACATTTCATATAATATGTGAATGGAATGGCAAACTTATTGCAAGTTTGGTGCAAATTTATGAAAATTATCATTATGCGCCGTTGCTATCACAAGCATTTACGGCTGCGCAGATCATTTTTTTGAGCTCCCAGGAAATGGTGTGGAAATATAAACAGAAAAAAGTTCATACCTAAACAAAATTTTTATTAATATTCTGCAAGTTTGCAGCAAACTTCCGCACTATCTTGCCGCAAAAAGGCACTTTGTTACTTGCAGAAAACTTGGTGCAAGTTTGCTGCAAGCTTATGTATGCTGATTGGGGTCCAATATTGTAAAATTTTCTTTCAATTATGTTGCACTAGTACTAAAGTAAAGTCACAGTGATATTATACAGTACTTTCTAAATCAGAATCATAGAAACTTCACTAATTTTCATCGAGTAGTTGCTAATTAAAATAGTTACAAATATGCTACTAATAATTAGTGAATGGTTACTGACCCATAATCAGCGATTATGTATTATTACACTGAAAAAAATTCATCGAATTTAACAGCTATATCACCTTTTTTAATCAATTTATAATAAAAAATTAATAATTATTAATAATAGTAATAATATTACTGACATATTACTGTAATATAACTGTGGCATTACTGTAACACTACTACAAAGTCACAGTACTGTCGTACGAAATAAGAACTTAGTTAATTCGCTTTGTTGTTAGGGGCGTCATTCACACCATTGGATCATCGAAAACCAACCTTAGCAAGACAGTGAGTTACCTAAGTTTTTATTTCGTATAGCAGAGTAATATTAAAACATGTAATTTCACTGTGGCATTACTTGTAATATTACTTTGAGGCGAGTATTTTAATATTACTGTAATTTCTCTGTAATGTTATATTCAAAAATTACTAACATTATATGTAACATTACAGTAATATTACATTAATGTTGCATACTACTTAGATATGTTTTTTAATCGAATGTCATGTAGATTATTACAGGAGGTCTGAGATTTACTTTTTTATTTGAATTTTCAATAGTGTCAAAATTTTCTCTTTACAATTCTAATATTCACAAATATTCTTCAATCTTCAACATTATGTTCAAAATTTGTAGTTCCTTAAACATTAGTTAATAAAAATTTATTAATATAGGATGTACGTAAACGTTGGAAACGGTTAAAACTTCTTGTAAACGGTCCACAAGATTTTCTGGAATTAGTACTTGCATTGCCGTTATTACCAGCTGGAAAAATTGAAAATGCAGTTAAAATACTGAAGAGTAAAATTAAAGAGTACGATGTAATTTACAAACGGAAATTAGAAATGTTCATGAAATACATCTGCAGAACCTGGGTAAAAGTTGCAGATGCTTTGTCCGTTACGAATTTAGAACAACGAACGAATAATATCAGCGAGTCGTTCAATAGTAGAGCTACTGCTCGTTTCGGAGGGATTCATCCGAATATTTGGACATTTTTAGGTAATTTTCATATATTTATATACTTCTTTATTTTAAAGAAAAAAATTATATTCTAATTTACGATAAGGAATGTGAGTTATCTCCGATACATTATGTCAATGTTTCTTCGAAGAATCCGCACATGCTTTATATGTATGTGTATATGGGTCTTTTCATGGCCCTTCTACTATAGGTGTTAAGTTTTATTTTTTTAAGATAATTGATAGTAAATATTATTCGATTAATAATTTAACAATTAATTAACTAATAATGAATAATTACTATCAAGTATCTTAAAAAATAAAAATCAACAAAGTCCGAGGAGCTCGTATTTGGAGACTTGGCTTTCGAACCCATTGTAGAAGCTCCATCAGAATTTTCACATCATTTCCAATGATCTTTAAATTTCACTTGAACTTTCAATATTCGACTCGGATAGTTTTTTCTTTAGTATATTTATCTTTAGACCACGTAATCATGAATGATACTGTTTCAACGAATATGGATACATTTTTAACTTTTATATAAATATTCACAACGACACAAATTTTAATTTATAAATTTGTTCTATGAGATTATTCTCCGTGTTTTTGGAAAATAACTATCTATTAATGATTGGTTATCAACAAAGAGGCATCAGCAATTATAGGTCGTCATCAATAGATGAAGTTGATATCCTTTTACAATCATCACTTGAGCCTTCAAACTCGCTCAATATAATTAATCAAATGTTTTTACATGCTATTATGTATGTCGAGAACTATTAAAAAAAATATGCGATCTTTGAAAATAGTAGTAGGTATCTTCTTTCTACAGAGGTCGCTTTGTCAATTGGTCACAATTACATTCATTTACGGTAACCACTGCAGCTCATCACAGAATCAACTAAAATAAATAATTCAAATAGCATTTAAAAATATAAGGTCTAACACAGCTCTTAAACCTTGAGATCCTCAAAAATAGAAAAAATGGTAAGCTTGTGAATCCAAAAATCTGAAAAAAAAATTTTATGGCCTTTAATCAATCCCAAAAACCATAATATTAAATATTATTAATATATTAGAGGTTTAATACCTGCAAAAACTTCCACAGAATCAAAAGCAACCAGAATTTTTGAAATCGGTCAAACGGTTTCTGAGTTCTTGTGGTTACCATTTTTAAAAATAGTATTTTGAGAAAAACGCGTTTAAAATTTTGATTTCAGGTTACAATTTGTCACACAGAAAGAACTAAATCAGCTTAAGACTTTAAAAATTCAAAATGACGGACGAAAAAGGTAAAAATTAACTGAATTTGATTGAAATTCATTTCATGTGGTTTTTTTGGAGTCGCTGAATTTGAATTTGATGTCAGATTTTAAACACTCAAAATCATATTCGCAATCAGCGACCCCAAAAACCGCTATGAAACGAGTTTCATACAAATTTAATTTATTTGTAAATTTTTGGTCCGCAATTTTAAAATTTAAGAAACAGCACTTTGCTTACAAAGTAACCAGAAGAAGCTAAGTATGATAAGTCGTATCACAATTTTTTAACTAAATTCAAGTCTGAAGACCGGATGTCTGTTTTTATATACAATGATCTGTAGACATATATATGTACTTTGTTAAATGACTTAATTTTATGAGCGAATTACGATACATATTTTCCTATTAAAAAATGAAGAAAAAACTACTTTTGTACCCAAAAAAGTTATGAAACCCTTTAAATTGATTTTTAAAAAAAGTTTTTTGTATTTTTACGTATTGGGTACTTTTTTATCAATATGTGTTTATTTTAATATATACATTTATCTTGAAATAACATTTTTACGTAATAATTTTATTGTTAATTTTTAGATAATCTGAACAATGTAATATTAGATGAGGAGATAAGATTGGATCGTTTATTGAATGGAGAGAATGTGAGCGGCTTGATGAGAAAAAAAGACATACTCAGAAATGAAAAGATTAGAAACGCTGAACAAAAATTAAGAAACGGAGGGTAAAATAATTTTATACTAGAATACATACGAGAGATTGGATATAAATGTTAAATTTTCAAAAAACGATTTCTATGCACTAAATTCTCTATTCGACACATGATATTTTTATTATGGCTTCACGCAAATTACTACACTCGTTCATGTCGTAAATTACATGTCATATTTTTTCGTAAGGGCTGAAACGTACCTGTGTAGGTTTTCGTCAAGGATTCCTAAAGAAAATTGTATATAAGAACTTTCAAGGATTGTAGACGGGGTGTAATTAGCTGAGCGTGATGATTTGTAGAAAAAATAGCGCCAAAGCTTTTAAATTTTTTAACATTAGGGGGGAGGGAGTAAAAAAGTGCAAAATAGCGTGACGTAGTTTATGAATGACCCCATCCTATACAAGAATTTTTAATGGGAATGTGCCTAACAAATAAAAAAAATTGAGTTAATTAAATATAAAGCTTAAAATACTTTTCAGGTCAATTGAACAATTTTTAAAAGAGTGTGCTGCATAATAAAATAAAGCATTGAAATGGGTTTTCAAAAAGTGTTGAATTGAATATAAAAATGACACACTCGACAATTGTATAAAACGAAATTTTCTAACCAGGTTATGGTAAATCACAGCAAAGAGTTATGATTCAATTACATATTATAAATTATAATCAATCTATTACTTGCACGATATGTAATTTTACTAGTTATTTAAATTTTGTTACTTTTAAATAAAATAAAATGTTTCATAGTAAAATTAATTACCCAACAATTTAGTTTCCATTCATATCTATTTTGAAAAAACCAATGATTAAACATTATTTTACGTATGATATTGAAGCATTTTATAAAATCATTTTCTCCAAAAACTATTATTCAGAGAGAAATTTCTTCTTTGTACAATTTTTCGATGTCTATTTCTAAGAAAATAACTTATTTACATAACGAATAAACAATCTTTCCTGTGAAATATCTAAATTGATCACATTTAAAACGTCCTTTTCTATAAAGTTATTCAAAAAATTTTAAATAATTCTTTCTTGTAATTAATATTAAGTTCATTGAATGCATAATTTTACATTCATGATTATGACATTAAGGTCAACGAAAATGTCGTTATATCTATTATACCTGCTCTATGAACTCCCTCTTTTAAGGCAGATTTTTCCATAATTCAATTTTGAAAATAATAAAATTTTCCATATTTTACAGTATGCAATTAATTGATTGTATATTGCAAAAATATAAAAAAATTCTATCAAAATTTCGTTTTGGATAAAAGGATCAAAATTTTAATTGAATTCAATTTAAATGAGACCAATTTAGACATTTCACAGGTATTATTTTCTACCACTTCACTGAAAAAATTATATTCTAAAATTGAAAATTTCTTCTTAAATATGCGTACAGAATATTCCCTTTTATTTTAATATATTCAAACAAATGTTTATTTACTATAAATGTACATTAAATCTTTTTTATTTTTAGTCCGCGTTTACAACGGAAATAATAATGTGTTGAAAAATGTGTTATGTGTAGGTTTTCTGTGTATTGCCTATAATATGTCAGTGTAATGGAAAGAGTTGTTTTATTTAATTAAGAAAATCAAATATTTAAATTAATAACTTACCTTCATTTATTAATAATCAAATAGTTTTGAATAATCCTGTAATGTATGTGAAATCTATTTAAAAAATTTAAATTTGAAATCACATCATCAGCACAAGGTATGCACTTTGTAAACAAATGTTCCCAACCTCAAACTTAAATTCTTAACAACAAAACAACTTCCCGTTGTTGAGGTAGCTTAAAAATACAACACAAAATAATAATTATTAAACGTTTGTACTAAATAAACAATTATTTGCCGAAAAATGTTTAAAATTCGAAGCGAATTGGTAATTTGATTATTTTTGAGAACCAGGTTTCGTTCATCTTTAAATTTTCCACACCCAACTTAAACTACCTAATAAAAGTGACATTTATTAAGTTGGCTTTCAACATTTTTCCAATCTAAAAATTATAATTATTTATTAAAAAATTTAAAGAAGCAAAATTTGAAAAAAGACTCATGAAAAAAGTGAAGTTGATGAAAATTAAAAATATGTATTCATTATGGGTAAATAATGAATAAGTAATTACTCTTAATAAATGTATGTAATGAATTTTTGATAATTATATATTCATAAAATTTTTGTTTTTAATTTAGGATTTTAAAGTTTTTATTTCACTGAAATTATGCATGTACATAATTAACTTATTGGAACAATTTCCAAAAAAGGTTTTATTTAACTCCAAGAATTTGCAGCTTTGTACCACTAATTGGTTATGAAAAAAGCTACATAAGTTTTTTTGACAACTATGAAAGGGTTAACAGTAGAACACATAAAATAAAGAATACTTTTTCTGCTGAGAATGAATTGTTAAAAATAACTTATTTACTTTTTTCCATATTAATAGATCATGGTGCATAAAGTATACAAAATAATTAGAAAAAGTGATAGTAAACCCCCACATCACCGAAACTTTCCTGAACATTTATTAAATATTTACTTGCGAAAATTAAATTTAAGTATTCAGAAAAGTTTTACGCTTAGCAATTATTTAATGGAAACATTTAAACCTTTACATAATTTTCATAACATTTTGCATTTGAATATTTCAAACATTTCAAGTAAAAATTTAATAAATGTTCAGGAAAGTTTCGGCACTGAAATAACCATATTTTAAATTTAAGAATATAATCTTGGATCCTATATAAGCTTATATTCCATGTATTTCATCTTAAAGTTGGAATATAATATTCCTTAAATAAGAAACAGTTTTTAAATTTAGAAATGTTCTTATTTTAAGAAACATTTTCCTATTTTAATACTATTTTATTTTAACATTATGAATAAACTGGATGGAAAATATACTTAAATAGAAGCTAAGATTATATTCTTAAATTTAGAATATCGTTTTTTGAGTGGGTACACACTGAAAAAATTATATTCTAGATTTAAGAATTTCTTCTTAAATAGGCGCCTAGAATATTTCTCTCTTAAATTAAGAGGGATATATTCTTACAATAAGATAATGTATTACTTATTGTAAGAATATTTCCCACTTTCTTTAAGCGGGGAATATTCTGTACGCATATTTAAGAAGAAATTTTCAATTTTAGAATACATATAATTTTTTCAGTGAAGTGGTAGAAAATAATACCTGTGAAATGTCTAAATTGGTCTCATTTAAATTGAATTCAATTAAAATTTTGATCCTTTTATCCAAAACGAAATTTTGATAGAATTTTTTTATATTTTTGCAATATACAATCAATTAATTGCATACTGTAAAATATGGAAAATTTTATTATTTTCAAAATTGAATTATGGAAAAATCTGCCTTAAAAGAGGGAGTTCATAGAGCAGGTATAATAGATATAACGACATTTTCGTTGACCTTAATGTCATAATCATGAATGTAAAATTATGCATTCAATGAACTTAATATTAATTACAAGAAAGAATTATTTAAAATTTTTTGAATAACTTTATAGAAAAGGACGTTTTAAATGTGATCAATTTAGATATTTCACAGGAAAGATTGTTTATTCGTTATGTAAATAAGTTATTTTCTTAGAAATAGACATCGAAAAATTGTACAAAGAAGAAATTTCTCTCTGAATAATAGTTTTTGGAGAAAATGATTTTATAAAATGCTTCAATATCATACGTAAAATAATGTTTAATCATTGGTTTTTTCAAAATAGATATGAATGGAAACTAAATTGTTGGGTAATTAATTTTACTATGAAACATTTTATTTTATTTAAAAGTAACAAAATTTAAATAACTAGTAAAATTACATATCGTGCAAGTAATAGATTGATTATAATTTATAATATGTAATTGAATCATAACTCTTTGCTGTGATTTACCATAACCTGGTTAGAAAATTTCGTTTTATACAATTGTCGAGTGTGTCATTTTTATATTCAATTCAACACTTTTTGAAAACCCATTTCAATGCTTTATTTTATTATGCAGCACACTCTTTTAAAAATTGTTCAATTGACCTGAAAAGTATTTTAAGCTTTATATTTAATTAACTCAATTTTTTTTATTTGTTAGGCACATTCCCATTAAAAATTCTTGTATAGGATGGGGTCATTCATAAACTACGTCACGCTATTTTGCACTTTTTTACTCCCTCCCCCCTAATGTTAAAAAATTTAAAAGCTTTGGCGCTATTTTTTCTACAAATCATCACGCTCAGCTAATTACACCCCGTCTACAATCCTTGAAAGTTCTTATATACAATTTTCTTTAGGAATCCTTGACGAAAACCTACACAGGTACGTTTCAGCCCTTACGAAAAAATATGACATGTAATTTACGACATGAACGAGTGTAGTAATTTGCGTGAAGCCATAATAAAAATATCATGTGTCGAATAGAGAATTTAGTGCATAGAAATCGTTTTTTGAAAATTTAACATTTATATCCAATCTCTCGTATGTATTCTAGTATAAAATTATTTTACCCTCCGTTTCTTAATTTTTGTTCAGCGTTTCTAATCTTTTCATTTCTGAGTATGTCTTTTTTTCTCATCAAGCCGCTCACATTCTCTCCATTCAATAAACGATCCAATCTTATCTCCTCATCTAATATTACATTGTTCAGATTATCTAAAAATTAACAATAAAATTATTACGTAAAAATGTTATTTCAAGATAAATGTATATATTAAAATAAACACATATTGATAAAAAAGTACCCAATACGTAAAAATACAAAAAACTTTTTTTAAAAATCAATTTAAAGGGTTTCATAACTTTTTTGGGTACAAAAGTAGTTTTTTCTTCATTTTTTAATAGGAAAATATGTATCGTAATTCGCTCATAAAATTAAGTCATTTAACAAAGTACATATATATGTCTACAGATCATTGTATATAAAAACAGACATCCGGTCTTCAGACTTGAATTTAGTTAAAAAATTGTGATACGACTTATCATACTTAGCTTCTTCTGGTTACTTTGTAAGCAAAGTGCTGTTTCTTAAATTTTAAAATTGCGGACCAAAAATTTACAAATAAATTAAATTTGTATGAAACTCGTTTCATAGCGGTTTTTGGGGTCGCTGATTGCGAATATGATTTTGAGTGTTTAAAATCTGACATCAAATTCAAATTCAGCGACTCCAAAAAAACCACATGAAATGAATTTCAATCAAATTCAGTTAATTTTTACCTTTTTCGTCCGTCATTTTGAATTTTTAAAGTCTTAAGCTGATTTAGTTCTTTCTGTGTGACAAATTGTAACCTGAAATCAAAATTTTAAACGCGTTTTTCTCAAAATACTATTTTTAAAAATGGTAACCACAAGAACTCAGAAACCGTTTGACCGATTTCAAAAATTCTGGTTGCTTTTGATTCTGTGGAAGTTTTTGCAGGTATTAAACCTCTAATATATTAATAATATTTAATATTATGGTTTTTGGGATTGATTAAAGGCCATAAAATTTTTTTTTCAGATTTTTGGATTCACAAGCTTACCATTTTTTCTATTTTTGAGTATCTCAAGGTTTAAGAGCTGTGTTAGACCTTATATTTTTAAATGCTATTTGAATTATTTATTTTAGTTGATTCTGTGATGAGCTGCAGTGGTTACCGTAAATGAATGTAATTGTGACCAATTGACAAAGCGACCTCTGTAGAAAGAAGATACCTACTACTATTTTCAAAGATCGCATATTTTTTTTAATAGTTCTCGACATACATAATAGCATAAAACAACGCTTCGGGAAAATTTAAATTCGGTGAAATTTAATTTCTGGCAAATTTAAATTCGACCAAATTGAATTTCTGTCAAATTAAAATTCGATCAAATTGATTTTCTACCAAATTAAAATTCGATTAAATTGACTTTCTAGCAAATTAATATTCTGCTGATTAAAATTCTATCAAATGTAACTTCTAACAAATTTGTTTTAGAGCTTATTCATGCGTCCCAGTAAAGTAAATATTTTTTATATTACTTGAATATATTTGATATTGAATTTTAATATTTTGTTTATTTTTAGAAATTCAAAAAGAACAGTATAATGAATTGAGGACTGAGGTACTAGGTAAATAATGTGAATATTATTAATATTACTAAAAATTAATAAAATCTGAAATTCAATATTTTTTCTATTTTTAGATAAACAAGAAGAGCAACATAATATAATAAAAAATATTTTACAAAGTGAGTAATTTCAATTAATATGACTTAACATTATTGTACACCTACATAAGTTTAATATTTTTCTTTTTTTAGACGGGTTCAAAGAAATGTTAAAAAACCATCATGAGCAGAGGTTAATATTAGAGGCTATTGCCAAGAAAGAGCAAAACACCAGTGCTGACATGCAAAATCAACATCATCTAATGTTAAACGACATTTTTGAACATGACGAAATCCTTTCAAAAATGCCATTTTCGTCTGACGACGAAATAAATACTTTTGATGAGAAATTGACTGATAAAGAATTCAAAGTTTTGACTGTAAGATCCAAATATTATAAAATATTGTAATAACTTTATATAAAATAATATACATATAAAAATATATATTGTAGGCAAGAGCGTACAGCAGCTTGGGATCTACCACACCTAAAGATTGTGTGGTTGCTATGATGACAAAAACATTCAAAAACTCTGTAGCTGCTGGATGGAGTTGGACTGGGAGGGTGAAAGGAAAGAATGATTTTAAAGTAAAAAAAAATATTGTCTGTATCCTTAGAAGTAAGTCCAACATTTTGTTAAATAAGGTCTAATATCATTTATACAATTACCTGTATGAGTATTGTAATTTTCAGGTGTTGCAAGGAGAAAGTATGGTTTGAACACTGTCACAGAGAATGATGTAAAACAATGGTGCTCCGAGTGGCTTAAACATGCCCCTAAACGCAGAAACCGTGAGAATGAGTATGTTTATATATTTTAAATAATAGTACTGGGTACTGGAAGAAGCAAAATTAAAAAATTAGTGGATAGTTTTGATTTGTTAGCCATTGTCTGATTCTACTTTCTAACATTAATAAATTATTGAAAATAATTTTTTAAAACTCTTAATTGTTTTTAGGAAAATATTACGAACGATTCAAGAGAATGAGGCATTGGAAGATTTATTGAACACAGAAACGGAAATGTAATACTAAGATTGTTAAAAATGTTTGTACATATTAAATATATTTAAAATATTATAATGAATAAAAAACATTAAGTTTAAGAAAATATAATTTAAATTGTAATAATATGCCTCATTGTGGTAACATTAAAATACAAATGTATTAACCTAAGTTATTCGTTTTTCTTGTAAGCCCTTATAAAAGCACTATTTTTTGAAGGAAAATATCTCAAAAAATAATAAATATTTTTTCAAAATTTTTTTTACTTAATTAGACCCATAACCACTCCCTAAAAACCTAGTATAGAAGAATTCGGAGGTCAGACCCCTCAATTTGACATATGAAGGGTAGAATGACAAAAGGGGTCAAGCGCCAATTTATCGAAAATGAGGTTTTTGCATAAAAAAATCAAGAAAATTCATTTACACATTTCTGTAGAAGGATTTCCTTTTTTATTGCGTATTTAAATCAGTTTTTAATAAAAATTAAATTAATAAAATAGCCTCAAATTTACTTTATTGCAACCTGATTGAAAAACAAAAGAAAGTGGTGAGTCAATAATATTATCCATAACTTAACAAATTTAAAAACATTGCTTTTTACAAATCGAAAATGCCTCGCAGATGCGGAAAAAAATCTATTAATAAAAAAGATATTGTTAAAAATAAACGATATGAAGGTGAAATGTTTTTATGAATTTTATTCTTCACATTTTTATCAATCTGTTCAATTTTTATCAAAAATATTATTTTTTTAGGTTTTATTTTAATATTTTATTTTAATTTTATTTTAATAATATTTTAATTAATAAAATTAATAATAATAATAATAATAATATATTTTCAATTTCAAACAATTTTAAAATAAAAATAAAATTTTTATTATTTTTCATTGCTGATTTTCTATACACTTTTTTCAAGATTCTGAACAATCATTCGTATGGATTTTAAAAAAATTCAATTTTTGAAAAATAAAAAAAAATGCAAAATTTGTTAAAAATAACTTTTTTTAATTTTTCATAGTGATTTCAGGTTTTCAAAAAATTTGTAAAAAAAATTATTACCCCTAAACCAAATCAATTATGATTGTTTCAATTTGATCAATTATTCCTTAAAAATTCAACTTCTTCTACAATTTTTATTATTTTTTATCGGTAATTTTTTTGTAGACTTTTTTCATAATTCTGAACAATCAATCGTAAGAATTTTTAAAAATTTTAATATTTTCAAAACATAAAATTTTGAAAATAGTCAAAAAAAAAATTTTTTAGTTTGATAATTCACAATAATTTTAAATCCAAAATAATGCCAGAAAAAAATTGACAATTAAAATCTAATTGATTAACAACATTAATTTCGATGAGTTGAAATTTCACCTATCCCTCCCCTTACAATTATGGTTTAAATCATTTTTGCTTTAAAATAAAACTTTGGAAGTATAATTTTTGGTACCATTTAATGTAAATTATAAGATATGTTCTCGAGTTTTTTAAATCAATTTTTGTTTATATTTTATAAATTAAGAAAAGATAGAAAAAATAAATAAAAATATAATAAAAAAGATATTATAAAAAAGAAATATCTTCTTAATAATAATGTAATTAGTAATTTAATTTATAATGTTTATAAAAGCATGCAGTGAAGAGCCATCTGGCGATAGAAACTTAAAGTGAAACAAATTAGCACGAATGATAACAAAAAAAAATTTTCTCGGGACTAGTAGAAGCGAGTAGTGTCGCCCTCTGTCCGTTACAGAAAAAAATATAAAGGTTCCCTAAAGAAGACAAATAAACGTTGCCGGAACGTTTCGGTGGGACCGTTCCATTTACGTCCCACCAACCATAAACAGGGACGTTGCCTGGCAACGTGCCTGTCCTACTGAAACCCGGAACGGTCTTGTCCGCTGTAAGGGAACGATCCAAAGAGCTGTCACGGGAACGGCCCGGTGGACCCTTCGGTCGGTTCCACTGGATCGTTCCCTTACAGCGGACAAGACCGTTCCGGGTTTCAGTAGGACAGGCACGTTGCCAGCAACGTCCCTGTTTATGGTTGGTGGGACGTAAATGGAACGGTCCCACCGAAACGTTCCGGCAACGTTTATTTGTCTTCTTTAGGGAACCTTTATATTTTTTTCTGTAACGGACAGAGGGCGACACTACTCGCTTCTACTAGTCCCGAGAAAATTTTTTTTTGTTATCATTCGTGCTAATTTGTTTCACTTTAAGTTTCTATCGCCAGATGGCTCTTCACTGCATGCTTTTATAAACATTATAAATTAAATTACTAATTACATTATTATTAAGAAGATATTTCTTTTTTATAATATCTTTTTTATTATATTTTTATTTATTTTTTCTATCTTTTCTTAATTTATAAAATATAAACAAAAATTGATTTAAAAAACTCGAGAACATATCTTATAATTTACATTAAATGGTACCAAAAATTATACTTCCAAAGTTTTATTTTAAAGCAAAAATGATTTAAACCATAATTGTAAGGGGAGGGATAGGTGAAATTTCAACTCATCGAAATTAATGTTGTTAATCAATTAGATTTTAATTGTCAATTTTTTTCTGGCATTATTTTGGATTTAAAATTATTGTGAATTATCAAACTAAAAAATTTTTTTTTTGACTATTTTCAAAATTTTATGTTTTGAAAATATTAAAATTTTTAAAAATTCTTACGATTGATTGTTCAGAATTATGAAAAAAGTCTACAAAAAAATTACCGATAAAAAATAATAAAAATTGTAGAAGAAGTTGAATTTTTAAGGAATAATTGATCAAATTGAAACAATCATAATTGATTTGGTTTAGGGGTAATAATTTTTTTTACAAATTTTTTGAAAACCTGAAATCACTATGAAAAATTAAAAAAAGTTATTTTTAACAAATTTTGCATTTTTTTTTATTTTTCAAAAATTGAATTTTTTTAAAATCCATACGAATGATTGTTCAGAATCTTGAAAAAAGTGTATAGAAAATCAGCAATGAAAAATAATAAAAATTTTATTTTTATTTTAAAATTGTTTGAAATTGAAAATATATTATTATTATTATTATTATTAATTTTATTAATTAAAATATTATTAAAATAAAATTAAAATAAAATATTAAAATAAAACCTAAAAAAATAATATTTTTGATAAAAATTGAACAGATTGATAAAAATGTGAAGAATAAAATTCATAAAAACATTTCACCTTCATATCGTTTATTTTTAACAATATCTTTTTTATTAATAGATTTTTTTCCGCATCTGCGAGGCATTTTCGATTTGTAAAAAGCAATGTTTTTAAATTTGTTAAGTTATGGATAATATTATTGACTCACCACTTTCTTTTGTTTTTCAATCAGGTTGCAATAAAGTAAATTTGAGGCTATTTTATTAATTTAATTTTTATTAAAAACTGATTTAAATACGCAATAAAAAAGGAAATCCTTCTACAGAAATGTGTAAATGAATTTTCTTGATTTTTTTATGCAAAAACCTCATTTTCGATAAATTGGCGCTTGACCCCTTTTGTCATTCTACCCTTCATATGTCAAATTGAGGGGTCTGACCTCCGAATTCTTCTATACTAGGTTTTTAGGGAGTGGTTATGGGTCTAATTAAGTAAAAAAAATTTTGAAAAAATATTTATTATTTTTTGAGATATTTTCCTTCAAAAAATAGTGCTTTTATAAGGGCTTACAAGAAAAACGAATAACTTAGGTTAATACATTTGTATTTTAATGTTACCACAATGAGGCATATTATTACAATTTAAATTATATTTTCTTAAACTTAATGTTTTTTATTCATTATAATATTTTAAATATATTTAATATGTACAAACATTTTTAACAATCTTAGTATTACATTTCCGTTTCTGTGTTCAATAAATCTTCCAATGCCTCATTCTCTTGAATCGTTCGTAATATTTTCCTAAAAACAATTAAGAGTTTTAAAAAATTATTTTCAATAATTTATTAATGTTAGAAAGTAGAATCAGACAATGGCTAACAAATCAAAACTATCCACTAATTTTTTAATTTTGCTTCTTCCAGTACCCAGTACTATTATTTAAAATATATAAACATACTCATTCTCACGGTTTCTGCGTTTAGGGGCATGTTTAAGCCACTCGGAGCACCATTGTTTTACATCATTCTCTGTGACAGTGTTCAAACCATACTTTCTCCTTGCAACACCTGAAAATTACAATACTCATACAGGTAATTGTATAAATGATATTAGACCTTATTTAACAAAATGTTGGACTTACTTCTAAGGATACAGACAATATTTTTTTTTACTTTAAAATCATTCTTTCCTTTCACCCTCCCAGTCCAACTCCATCCAGCAGCTACAGAGTTTTTGAATGTTTTTGTCATCATAGCAACCACACAATCTTTAGGTGTGGTAGATCCCAAGCTGCTGTACGCTCTTGCCTACAATATATATTTTTATATGTATATTATTTTATATAAAGTTATTACAATATTTTATAATATTTGGATCTTACAGTCAAAACTTTGAATTCTTTATCAGTCAATTTCTCATCAAAAGTATTTATTTCGTCGTCAGACGAAAATGGCATTTTTGAAAGGATTTCGTCATGTTCAAAAATGTCGTTTAACATTAGATGATGTTGATTTTGCATGTCAGCACTGGTGTTTTGCTCTTTCTTGGCAATAGCCTCTAATATTAACCTCTGCTCATGATGGTTTTTTAACATTTCTTTGAACCCGTCTAAAAAAAGAAAAATATTAAACTTATGTAGGTGTACAATAATGTTAAGTCATATTAATTGAAATTACTCACTTTGTAAAATATTTTTTATTATATTATGTTGCTCTTCTTGTTTATCTAAAAATAGAAAAAATATTGAATTTCAGATTTTATTAATTTTTAGTAATATTAATAATATTCACATTATTTACCTAGTACCTCAGTCCTCAATTCATTATACTGTTCTTTTTGAATTTCTAAAAATAAACAAAATATTAAAATTCAATATCAAATATATTCAAGTAATATAAAAAATATTTACTTTACTGGGACGCATGAATAAGCTCTAAAACAAATTTGTTAGAAGTTACATTTGATAGAATTTTAATCAGCAGAATATTAATTTGCTAGAAAGTCAATTTAATCGAATTTTAATTTGGTAGAAAATCAATTTGATCGAATTTTAATTTGACAGAAATTCAATTTGGTCGAATTTAAATTTGCCAGAAATTAAATTTCACCGAATTTAAATTTTCCCGAAGCGTTGTTTTATAGAATACTAATAGTGTAGAAAAACAATTTGACAGAAATCTACTTTACCAGAATGTATATTAAAATTAATTTTCGGTCAAATTATCTTTTTGGGAAATTAATATTCGAACAAATTGAATTTCTACCAAATTAAAATTCAATTAAATTGACTTTCTGGCAAATTAATATTCTGGTGATTAAAATTCTAACAAATTTGTTTTAGAGCTTATACATGCGTCCCACTTTACTTACTTAACATCTCAACCCTCAGTTCATTAATATACAAATCTTCAGGACAATGAGTTGTTGAGGCTTCTGAAAAAGTCCTGTTCCTAACGTTCACAGACATTTCTCTATTTTTTTTAATATCATCTTCACCATCTTTATCTTCATCATTGTCATCTTCATCATCCTCATCTTCATCAAGCTCTTCTTGATCATCTTCATTCTCATCATCACCATCATCTTCATCTTCATCGTCAATTCTCGATCTTTTATTTTCGGAAGGCACCATGTCATCTACTTTCTTTTTGTGTCTTAAAGCTCGCGTTTTGAGCGATAAAACCTGAAAGTCCATATTGTCTTCCAATTCTGAGCTATTCAATCCTTCCACCGTTTTTAAGCCAGCAAGCGCATCTACCATTGAATCTAAAACAAAATGATTATTAATACTTGCTTATTTTCTATTTAATTTTATTTAAATTAAAATCAATGTTTTTAACTGTATATTGCTTTATGTCGAGAAACATTAGTTCCCAGTATAGCACATAATATTACAGTCATATTAAAATGTCCGCCTGATGGCAATATTACAGTGTAATATTACAGTAATATCACATTATTGACAATATTTAAATAATTATTAAACATCATCTTACCAAAATCACTAATACATCTTTTTATTTTGTATTGGCGATAGTTAGATGTCGGGATATCGCCTCTTTCTATTGCTCTGTGAATTTTATTTTTCTGCCAATTCAGTGGAGGAAAAAATGAAAACTCGTTATTTGTTATCCACGATCTGTGGACAACATATATCTCCTTCGTTGCGAATTCCAAGAGAACATAAGTTTTCGACAGTTTTCGTTTTCTTTGACTTCTAGAAAAGGTAATTTGAATTATTTTGCGTGAATAAAAATTATTATAAAATCTTAACTTTTGACCTATCCTTTAATATAATCTTTAATATGTTGCATTTTATTATCTGATTATTTTCGCCAAAAAGGAGGTGAATAACAACGGTTATGAAAAAATTATTTTTCTCTACCTTTGACGATTAAATATGAGAAGTTGGATCAAATAATATTCGCAAGAGATAATACCACCCCACAGCACCGAAACTAAATTTGTGTACAGCGTTTATGAAATGTACATATTTGATTATAAATTTGGGTCATTCCATTTTATTTCACCTATAGTCGTTGCGGCCTATTTTTAGAAAAATTTTATATTTCATATAAATGACTTTTAATATCCGTAAAATTTATTTTTGACAATTATAATATGAAATTCTTTTTTATTTACGTTGAAATTTAGTTTTTAAGTTGAATTGCACGGAAAATAGGTTAGTTTGACAGCTTTAAATATTTAATAAAAAAGAACAGAAATAATTTAGTTAGTAAATATTTTTTCAATGATATTTATTGAAAATAGTCTAATTTACCAATGTTAATTGATAATTGTGTAAAAAACTCCAAAATACTACGTGAAACTTAATATTCAAATTTACCTGTAAAATGTCAAAATTTGACACCCCAACCAAAAATTTCAGTACTATACCAGAGTTCACTACTGGCGCAGTACTGGTTCAGTATTGGCTGCCGAGGCTGGGCAGTCTGTACTGAACCAGTACTCGTATTTTCATTGTATCAGTACTGTTGCAGTACCACCGTCCCAGTACTGGCAAACCAGTACTGAGCCGATATTGAGCCGGTACTGGCTCAAATAGATTTTCCTTTTGATTAATACTAGTATATTAAAAGTTCTAGAGTGAACCCGGACAGCACCGAAACTTCCCTGAACCTTGACTGAACCTCGCTTGACGAGGTTCGGGAACTTGAGTCGCTAGATCCAAACGGGGTTGAGTTGATGTTTAAATGTCCGCGCATAATAAAGGTCAGTCACAGAGGTTGGCTGAATATTGGATTTGAATTTCTGTTAAATATTAAAATTAAAGATTCTTGGCATATTGTGAGGGGATATTTAAGGAAATTAAAAATTCAAGATTTGTTAAATGTAATCGTTAAATATTCTGGAAATTTAGAAGGAGCATAAATACGGAAAAATAAAAAGAAAGCAAATGAATTTAAAAAACTATTGAAAATTGCATTTTCTATGACATGGGAAAGAGTAAATAAAACAGAAATTAATAGACAATCATAAATACAGTTATATTTATTAGTAATAAATTATTTATGCTCCTTCTAAATTTCCAGAATATTTAACGATTACATTTAACAAATCTTGAATTTTTAATTTCCTTAAATATCCCCTCACAATATGCCAAGAATCTTTCATTTTAATATTTAACAGAAATTCAAATCTAATATTCAGCCAATCTCTGTGACTGACCTTTATTATGCGCGGACATTTAAACATCAACTCAACCTCGTTTGGACCTCGCGACTCAAGTTCCCGAACCTCGTCAAGCGAGGTTCAGTCAAGGTTCAGGGAAGTTTCGGTGTTGTCCGGGAACCTGATGAATCTTTTTGTTTAAATATTTTGTTTATAAAAATTTTGTCACCTTTATTTTATTTTTCAAAATTAGAATGTATTCTATTTTGCTTTTTTGTGTGTAAAATTATTTAAACAAAAAGTTTCCTGAGACCAATTCCAAAACATTTTGCAAGATTTTCTTATTGTTTTCAGATAGGCAATAAACCAAAAAAAAATTTTAAACGATCAAACTAAAAATAAATAAATTTGTTTATAAAAAATTAATATTTTTTGAAATAAAAATTTTAAAAAATTTTCTTGACAACACTTGATAAAAATCAATAAACAACTTTTATTTTCTTCAAAAAGTTTTTCAAAAATTCATTTTGATGGAAATAATTGAAGTGAATAATAAAATAATTAAATAGCTAATTATATAATTATTTTATAAACATTTTTATTTTTACTGAACTGTTTTTATATATTATAAAAACTTTGGTTTTATAATAAACATATTTTTATACTTATTTTTTGATTTTTTCAAATAATAATTTGCAATATATATTATAATAAAGAATAAAAATTCTTGGTGTTTTCGATTTTATATAATATAATATTAATTAGTTAGTTGACTAATTTAATTAATATTTAATTTTGAACATTTTTTTTGACTTTTTTTCAAAATCGGTTATTTTTTTCTGTTTCAAATTTTTGTTAAAAAGTTTAAAATGAATATTTTCATCACAAAAAATATGCAAATGTGCTGTTTTGTTTTCAAGATATTAATTAATTAGTTTTGATTCTTAACTTACCAATCGAAAGTTAACGTAATTCAGCATCAAACGAGCCCAATATGATGTATTTATGTTTAATACGTTTTTTATAAACAATTGTAATGCTAATCAATTGTTTATAAATATCCACTAATTTAAAATAGTTTATATTTGGATCATTGGATGGGGAATTACGTCAGCTTTTGATTAGTAGCTTCAGAATTGCAATATTTATTTAGTTGTAAAATATTTTATTCATTACTAATAAAATAATAAAAGTAAGCAATCGGGGCGTTAGCAGTGCCTTAAAACCCAATAAACTTTATTACACTTATTTACAATCATATTTATGGTCAGAAGGGGAAATGTTGTACCCCTACTCTACCGGTCAGGCCCGAGCTTCGACCTCGAGAGAGTGAGGCACCCCGGGGGACCTGAGCGTCGTTCTCGGAATTAAGGAAATTTATATTTTATGACTCTTAATGAGTTTTTCACCAAAATTATAAAATTTTTAAATATAAACATTTGTTAATTTTTTTTAACATATTCGTATTCTTCAGAATTTCACGATTACGAGCATATGTTGTTACAATTAAAAATGTTAATATTTAAAAGTTATATAATTTTCGTTTAATTTATCTAATGTATTCTCCGATAAAAAAGCTACCAAAAATAATAGTTTATGATGAACGATTTTTAAAGAAATATTTTTTTGAATAATGAATTCAATGAATTTTGGTCTCAAGTACATAAAAAAATATAAATAAGAAAATAAATATTTCTTTAAAAATCATAGATCATAAACTATTATTTTTGGTATCTTTTTTGTCTTTTTGTATCACTTATATTATTTGAAATACAAAACATATTTAAAAATTTTTTTTGTTTTTATACCAAAGGAGGAACAATTTTCTTAAATATTTTTTTTTAAATTGTTCTTTTTTGTATCACATATATTATTTAACATACGGCACATATTTTTTAAACATTTGTTTTTATACCAAATAAGTTCGCTTCGAGTACGGAACCCTCGATTTCAGTGCGAGTGTAACTCGCACTTGTCCGATTTTTGTTTTTGCGTTAAAAATTTTTTTGGTAAAAGATTTTCAATGGAGCCCCTTTTCAATAATTCATTTTAGATGTGAGAATTACATATTTTTAGTTTAACAGGAAAGTTACAATAAATGCAAATTATACAATAGATATAACTTAATTTATATAAATATTAATATAAATGTCTTGTACTTACATTTGATTTGAACTATTCACTGGCTTTCTTGAATTCATATCGGAACTTAATTGATTCATAATGAACAGCACAAACGCTCCAAAAACCCAAAAATATAAAAGAATCAGGAAATATCAAAAAAAATTTAAGAAACTAGAAAGAAAAACGGTGTTTAACAAAAGAAAATACACAAAACAAATTTATAAAACACTAAAATACGGATTATTATGAATTAGATAGGAACAGTGTCTCCTGAAGAAGGTATTCTATAGAACTGCGGAAACTGAAGTGTCTGGAAACCACGCAAAGTGAGTAACGCTCAGTTTGGGCTGCCTATTGCTAGACTTATACTACTAAGCAGAAAGTAGTAAAAACTTTTCTATTTAAGATTTCAATAAAATTGCAAACTCCACTACCAATTCAAAAATTCTAACAATAAATAATGTTTCAAATTTAAAAAAAGCCTAGGTCCGCTCGAACGAGTTCATCATATACATGCTTACAAAATTTACATAAAGAAATTTATCAGATAATTATTTATTTTTTATTTAAATCATCAATGAAATTAAATTTAAATTATTTAAATAATATTAATTATAATAGTAATAATATCTCTCTATATTATAAAAAAATTTTGCCGCTGTCTCCAGTATGGCTCATTCCATATCAACTGTAACCAACTTATGTTTTTGACAATTTTAGGTTAGGTTATGTAATTTTTAAGGTTAGGGATATTTGAGGTTATGTCTGTTAGACATAGCCTCGAATCCTATGTTTTTAGCAAGGTTAGGTTAGGCTTTTTAATTAACCATTAAAGTGGAAAATCAGGGGGGTTGTTGCGCGATGCGCGCAGGGGGGCACAACCCCCTAGTAATATATAATAATAATAATAATTCCTGCTTACTTATGTTAATTCGGTAAACTCAGAACTGACTGCCGGTAAAAGATCAGTAGTTGAAAGCGTTGCCAGCCAGTGTTGGCCCAGTACTGACTTAATACTACATTACTGGGAGTCAATACTGGGTCAGGACTATGCCGGTGTTACGTTTTTACCTGATAAATGCCTTTAAAAATTACTCTTTTTTTACCCATGTGTTATTAAAAAAATTTTAGAACATTGTTTCAGAAAATTTTGCAGTTTATTTCTATATTAGTAGGTATAACATAAACCTTATTAGGATACATCATTTTCGACATTTATTTGTATATTATGTCTCAGTGGAAAAGACACTGATAATTCGTCGTTTAAAAACATGTACCACCCTTTATACATAATTTCAGTTACAGGCCACCATTCAAAATATGCAGTGTTATTTGAGAATGAGTGTTTAGTTATTGAAAGTGTCGATGAATCAATAAGTGTATGACAATAAAAATCAGTTCGGTTAACATATTTCTTACCAATAATAAATATTTCATTATTTTTACTTCTCACAATGTTATAAACCTTGACAATACTTCCATCTTTTAAGAAAACCTTATTGTCCGCATCTTTATTGCAATCTATTGTCACATTCTTGTTAGCAAAATACTTGTACTGCGCTGAGATGTCAAATGGCATCGAACAAATCGGATTGGAAAAATGTAATTTTGTTAATGATAAATTATCTTCTATTGATTCATTTAACATTTCAATAGCTGCTATCTCCTGATAACGTTTCATTATTTGCTCCACAGGTTTATCGAATTTCCGTATTAGTCTTTTAATGACTGTCATATAATTTTCAAAACGGAAGGCACTAAAATTATCCAAAGGTCCAAATAATCTAACATCTGCTGCTAAATGTAACAAATTATGAATATTATGTGAAATATACTCTTTGCCATATATAGTTTGGAAATTTTTAACAAACGATAACAAAAACTTCTCAGCACGATTTACTTGTTGTACGTCATTTACCATATTTCTACTTACTAAAATTGTTATTGCAATGTGCAGTTCCAAAAAATTATTGTACAGTATTTCTGGAAGAATTCCTTTCAATACTAAAGGGCCGGTGTATAATAAAAATGTTCGAAATTCTGTTGCTTTCCAGAAATGAAATGCACTGATACAACGAGATTTTCTAGAAAATTCTCTAGGAGTTGTATTAATCAAAGAAAGCAATCTGTTTGAAATTATTTTAGTATCTCCTTTGCCTAAGCTCTTGGACCTTTTAACCAAAGCCAAATTAAACGTTTGGTCACACCCAATAGAACCAAGTGCATGTAGTCCAATGGAACTCTCGTAATTCCTAAAAATCCAGAAATATCTAATAAATTTGTTCTCTTATTTTGATATCTTTTATACTTATTTCTTGAAAATTTGTCATCTTCTCGCAAAAAAATTTTAACATTTTTTTCAATTGGAAAGGCCACTCTTCCTTTGTGTTGTCCCTCTTTACCTCGAGGCTCTTGCCAACTTCCCTTGCATTTACATTTAGAACAACTGTAATAAGCAGTGTGACCAACAGTACCAAGAACCATACTTTTGGCAGGAGCATCACATACTAACGCGTGAAATAGTACTTGAAATTATTGTTCTTTAACTGTTATTGAAGAACCACAAAGTTGTGCAGCTTCATCGACAAAAGGTTTGAGAAACTCATTTGAATCTGCAGGTTTCGATGTACCAGCAAAAATTCCGACAACAAAAACTTTCTTTAATAATTCATCGGAACATAAAATAAGCCATAATGATTTTTGTGATGACTTATAAATCGGTAACCCATCAATATTAAAAATAAGCCGTATCTCGCGATTTTTCAAGTTGCGTTTTAAATATTCATTTGCAATTTTTTCAACAATCTTCGTTGATCCGAAATGACAATACTTGCCATCGCCATCCATGTTAATAATATCTACATTTCTGGGAGTGTGCAATAACGATCGACTATCACGGGGTATAATTAGATCCGTATGTGTTCGTAAAATAATTAGCAGAGCAGTCAGTGCTATGTGTGGTATCCCGAAAGCAAGTGCCCATAAAGTAATCGATGTATTGAATTTTTCTGATTTTTTATCACGTACATATTCAGCATCTTCTAAATTGTCGTTAAAAAACAAATTGTCATCTGCTGAAATATTTCTAAATGGTAATTCGTGTTCAGATTTAATTTCAAAGTAAGGAAAACTCTCATCATTTATTTCTTCATCACTTATTTCTATATCATCTATTGAATCATCATAATCAGTAGAACAATCACTTTCACTGTTTATTGGTTCTGCTGTTTTTGTTGAAATTTCTTCTTGATAATTTACTGGAACAGCTGCTGTGTCGTTGATACATGTATCCATTCTTACGTTTTCATTCAAATCCATGGGCATTGGGTCAATTTCGTCAATGGAGTTTAAAATATCTTGTATATTAGAATATTCGTCAGTACATGATGCACCTTTATGTGAAAACGTTTTAAACATTTGAGCAGCTACTCCTTGTTGTACTTTTTGTCTAATTCGGCGATGGCTAATACCCAAAAGTCCTTCAAACTTTTTCATTTTTTAGATAGACCTAAAAGAGGTAAAAAAATAATTATATACGATAGGTACATAAAATCTTTATATTTAAAAATTGTTAAAACTTGTATCTGATTTATATTTTTGCAGTAACTTTACTGTAAAGTAATGCCGGATACTATTGCCAGGCAATATTTCCATCAGGCGAACATTTTAATATGACTGTAATATTACACGTTTATTTGAAATACGTAAAAATTTCAAAGTTTTTTATGATAAAACACAAAAAGATAAGAATTAATCAGTTAAATATTTTTGAGTGATTTTTGAAATTTTTTGTAATATTACAGTAATATTAACCGGTAATATTACCATGAGGCGGACATTTTAATATCATAGTAATACTACCGGTAATATTACTGGAATATTACGTATTACTTGGGTATTTTAATATCATATTTTTATGTAAAATTGATTGTAGTTATTGTAAATAATAAATTTATTTTATCAAAATAAAGTTTGTTGTATGTATAATATATGACAGCCAAGTAGTATGTTATATTACAGTAATATTACAGCAATAATACATGGTAAATATTGCAGTCTTATTAGAATGTCTGCAGAGATGGGTAATGACCTGTAAATTACTTGGCTTAACGTCCACAGCCCAAATTCCGTTTAATTTAAATGTTTTAATATTACTGTAATAATATTACTACAATATTACTATAGTATTACTATAATATTACTGCAATATTACTATAATATTACTGTAATATTACTGTAATATTACGTGTTACTTGGGCAATATGCAAAACGAATAGCTTATGTATAAATAGGTCTCAAATTATATTATTCTTGAAAGAAAAGTAGGTTTGTCTCAAATTCAAAATGAAATTTATGATTTATAACAAGTATGTGACTTGGACAGTTAAAAGAGACCTTACATCCGAAAAAAGTTTTTTTTGCAACTTACACTGAGAAAAATGTTTAGTCAGAGCAACCAAAATTTGGTTGGACCAACAAAAAAATTTTGTTGGTTATTAAGCAAACAAACTATTTGTTTAGGTCAACCAAAAAATTTGGTTGAGTGTTTTTTGTTGGCTTAACAAAAATGTTTGGTTAGCCCAACCAATTTTTTTTTGTTTGGTGAACAAAAATGTTTGATTGATCAAACAAACAGTTTTTTTGTAAAATTGAAATTTTTATTCTACCTTATTTCTTTTCTTTTTATCTTTTTTATATATTTCATTATTTATTTATTATCAATTTAACATTGAATTTATATTTATTCAATTGAAATATTTGTGGACTTTGAAAAGTCTCGTCTCCGCCTGGGATCGAACCTCTGTTCTAAAACTGAAGGTCGGGAGCTCTAACCGCTGAGAGCGAATCAAATTATTTGGTTGTCGCAACCAAATTTTGGTTAGGACAACAAACGATCATTTGGTTTTTTAGACCAAACTATTTTGTTGTGTTAACCAAATTATTTTGTTGTAACCAAATTTTGGTTGGAATTTAAAAATGTTCAACCAAATAATTTTGTTGGCCTAACCAAATGTTTGGTTGAGATAACTCTACGACTTTGTTTCAGCCAACCAAAATTTGGTTACAAGAACCAAAATTGCCTAACCAAACAATTTTGTTGCAAACACTAAATTTTTTTTCTCAGTGTATTGCATTTAAAAGAATATACTTTATTAATATTAAATCGTTGAAAAAATTAAAATCGATTTTTTTGAATGTAATGTCCTTTTTAACTGTCCCTGTCACATGTTGTCTTAAATTCAGCGCATTAAAAGTGCTAAAACTGAATACAGACAACCGGAGCTATTATAATACAAAACCCAGTTGAAAATTCCGACATCGTTTACGACGTCGTATTCTAAGTAGTTTGCGACGTAGTAAACGACGTAGTAAACAACGTAGAAAACGACATAGTAAACGACGTCGTAAATGAAAGCGGAATTCGGGATAGCAAACTACGTCGTTTACTACGTCGTTTACGATGTTGCAAAAATTATTTTAATATTATTTATTTAGTAATTTAGTAAGTCCAATATCCAATATTAAAAATTTTAATAATAATTTAAAAAATCAATGATTTAAAAAAAATTTATTTTTATTATTTTTTAATAGTTATTATTATTATTTTATTTTTAATATTTAAATTAAAATAAAAAAATGGTCACAATGATAAAATAATAATTTTTTTTCAAATTTTCTTTCAAAAAAAAATTCGTGTTTTTAAAAAAAATCACGATGAAAAATAATTTTGTTGTAAAAATTTGTCTGTAAAAAAATTGTACGTATCACAAAAAAATATTACGATGAGAAATTTACTTATTTTAAAGTTTTCTCAGTAAAAAAATTATTTGTGGCCCAAATAAAATATCACGATGAGAAAATAATTTTTTTTGTCAAAATTTCTCTGTAAAAAAAATTAATTAAATAATTATATAATAATAAAATGTTTGGTCTGTCTTTCTGTCCTAACTTGAAGTTGGCCTTTTCTGATTTCACGTGTTTTTTTGAATAGTAATCTTATGACGTGTCAAATTTTGACAATTCTTTTTCTCATTTTTGCCAAAGTTGTATAATTGTGTTTCCAAATTTCTTTAAAATAAAATAATAAAATAAGTTTCTTTAAAATTCCAAATTCGAAAATTCAATTCACGAAGCTGAAGTACACAACGTTTACCAACGAAATTTTTTTTAAAGTTGTATATTAATTTAAAAATTGTATATTGATTCAAAAATTGTATACAAATACAAAAAATTTATGATGAGAAAAAAGATGCGCCAGGAAATTTCGTACAAGATAGTAATTTGAAAAAAATTTATTTTTAAGGTACCAGGGGCCAACGATTTCCTATTAAATATTAATTATAAAAACACAGGCCTCGAATCAACTTAAAGACACAAAACAGTCGTTTTAGTCGATTTATATTCCAAAAAAAGTGGATTTGTTTTTCATTTTAACAAAAATATTTTACAGATTTTTAAATAAAATTTTTTTTTTAATAATAATCCTTTTCGAAGGGTTAAAGTTGAAATTTTTAGAAATAATTAAATTTCAAAAGATATTGTTAATTTTCAAACAATTATTAAATTTTACAGAACTAAAAATAATTTATCAAACAATTTTTGGAAAACATTTTTTTAATTTAATTGAATTTTCAAAGATTTAAAATTGAGATTTTTGAAATTAATTGAAACTTTAAGTGTTTTGTAATTAAAATTTTAGATGATTTCACTAAAAATTTATTAGAAAATGCGGACAAAATACAATATGAAAATCATTTTTAATTGAAAAATGGTTTCACATAGTTGAATTTTCAAAGAATATTATTAAAATAATTAAAAATAATTGAATTTCCTTAGAGTTATAATTATTGAAATTATTAAATTTCAAAAAAAAAAATTTCGATGGAAAATTTTAGAAATTTTAGATGCTTTTAAATTCAAATTATTGAAAATTCAATTAATTTTGAATTCAAATTTTTGAGAATAATGAAATTTTATTTGATTTTAAATTTGGAAAATAATTGAATTTCAGTTCATTTTGAATTGAAAATTTTGGGAAATAATTGAATTTTAATTGAAATTTTGGATAATAATTTAATTTAAGTTCATTTTTGATTGAAAATTTGGATAATTAATTTTGAATAGAAATTTTAGAAAATAATTGAATTTTATTTCATTTTAAATTGAAAACTTGGTAAATAATTAAATTTTAAATTGAAAATTTTGGATAATTATTGAATTTTAATTGATTTTGAATTAAAATTTCGGGTAATAATTGAATTTTAGTTTATTTTGAATTGAAATTTTTAAAAAATAATTCAATTTTATTGTGATATTTTTTTTTAAATTATAAACAATTGTTAAATTTCATAAAAATTTTAATTGAAAAATAATGTTGATATAATTGAATTTGTGATGTATTTAATTAAAATTATTAAAAATAATTAATTAAGTGAAGAATCATTTTAGTTCATTTGTTAAATAATTGAATTGAAGAAGATCTGAAGAAGATCTACATTTTATACAAAAAAAAGTCGTATAATCCGAGGCCTGTAAACATATAATTTTCATTATTATCATTTAATATGTTATAATATTCTAATAAATTAAATTATTATTATTAATATTAATCTTTAATTTCTTTATAACAAACAATTAAAACCTCAATTTGGCGCGCTTGCGCGCGTTTAATTTTGCTAGTTAGCTTAATAATTAGTTAATTAATTTTTTTACTACGAAAATTTAACCTGGTAATAAATGTATTAAACTTTATTTTAAAGCTAAAATAAAGCATAAAAGTGGGTGAGCGAATTTACCCGCAATGAGCGAAATAACCCCGTTTTACGGTACGTTATTTAGTTAATTAATTTATTTACAGAGAAAATTTGACAAAAAATTATTTTATCATCGTGATATTTTTTTTGAGCTACCAATAAATTTTTTACAAATAAAATTTTAAAATATTTTTATATATATATATATATATATTATATATTATATATATTTATATATATTTTTTATATACCTTTCGCAGAAATGCTGTTGATTCAATAGCATATTTTTCTCAGTGTATAATTGGTCAAAAATTGACTTTTGCTTATAACTTATACTATAAGTGAAACTTCATTTATTTAGATTTAGAGATTAAATATTAAAAAATATTTACGAAAAGCTTGGTTTAAAGGGATAGTACCATACACGGAGAGAAATATCATACTATATTCGGGACGCATGAAAATGCACCACCTGTCATTTGTCGGAATTGTCATTTAACAGAAAGGCAAATATCAGAAACGCCAATTAACGGAATTGTCATTTGACTGAATTGCCATATAGTAGAAATGCTACTTAACGAAGTCGCTACTTAACCGACGAGTCAAATAACAGAAATGTCACATAGCCGAAATGACATGTAACTGAAATGTCAATAAACGGAATTGTCATTTAACGAAATTGTCATTGCACGTAATTGTCATTTAACAGAATTGCTACTTAACAGAATTGTCAGTTAACAG